CCCCTGGCTCGATGGTGTTGCTAGGTTCTGATGTGGAGTCTACACTGATTCTGGGGAGTTTTGTGAAGATGGTGTTGCTTCATGAGGAGCCACAACACCCTGTTGCCCAACATAAGCCTCCCCTCCTCTTCTGTTGCTGGCTGGGCACCTACATCAACTGTATCAGCTGTTGTCAGATTTTCATCAGACAACTCATAATGCACAATAAAGGTTTCAGTTTCTTCAGCTGTCTCATTTCCGGCATTGGTCTAGTTCCAGGCCTGTCCTTCATCGAAAACAACATCTCTACTGACCACGAGTCGACCAGTAGCTGGATCAAATAGCTTGTACCCTTTGGTGCCCGACTCATAGCCAATAAACACCATTCTGGTTGATCTGTGTGACAGCTTGTTCAGACCAGGACCTGTATGCTTCACATATGCCATACAGCCAAATGTTCTGAGATGATTCACACTAGGCTTCCTTTTGTACCAAGCTTCAAATGGAGTGATGCCTTCTAGACTTTTTGTTGGTGACCTATTCAAAATGTACACCGCAGTCAGAACTGCCTCACCCCAAAAATTTGCAGGGACACCCATGGCCTTTAGCAAGCACCTGGCCATCTCTACCACAGTTTGGTTTCGATGCTCTACTACCCCATTTTGTTGAGGAGAATAGGGTGTAGTAGTGTAGTGCTTGATGCCCTACTCATTGCAAAAGACTGAGAATAGATGAGATGTAAATTCTCCTCCCCTATCTGTTCTCAAAGCTTTTAGCCTTTTGTCAGATTCCAGCTCAGCTCTCTGTTTGATTTTTTTAAAACTTTCCAGTGCATGATCCTTGGTTTTTAGCATCTCCACCCACATAAATCTACTGTGATCATCAACAACTAGTAGAAAATATGAGCACCCCCCTGGTGTCTTAGGAGTGATATGGCCACAAAGATCTGCATGAACTAGCTGCAAGACCTGACTAGCTCTCACTCCTAAAGCTTTAGGAAAAGGAACCCTGTGCTGCTTCCCAAGAACACACCCATCACAAATCTGCTCCACCTTGTTAACTATCGGCATACCAGTAACCATCCCTCTCTGCCCAGATCTCTTAGAGCTCTAAAGTTCAGGTGACCGTATCTAGCATGCCAACGCCAAGCTAACTCTTCAGACTTTGCTAACAGACATATTGGTTCAGTCAGATTCAACTTGACAGTATAGAGCCTGTTAGTGGTTCTAGGAGCAGAAATCAACAAAGCACGTCCTTGATCATACACACACATCTTGCCATTCTCCAGAACCGCTTTGAAACCTTTCTCTTCTAATTGCCCCAAACTGACTATATTACTTCTCAACTTAGGAATGTAATAAACGTCAGTTAATACCTTGTGAGATTGTTGATGGCGACCTTGAATCACCACTAAGCCGATCCCTTCAATTTCGACGCGGGAGCCATCACCAAAACGCACGGTGCCGTGAACTGTGTCAGCGCTGATCGAGTCCCGGTCATATGGTTGCTAGCGCCGGTGTCAAGCACCCACACTCCATCAGGAACGTCGATGGGAATCACCTTCTCCATGACATGCACGATCTGCGTCGGCCCGTGCACGACGTCACACGTGGCCAGCAGCAGAGCGCCACCATGTTCAGCTCCGCCGACAGCGATGTTCGCCTCCGGCTGTGCTGCCTCCTTCTTCGGGCGTTTGCAGTCCTCCACCCAGTGATCGTAAATGCCACAATTGCGGCACCGGCCTTTCCACCTTGGCGTGCCCATGGAGGTCAGTTTGACCTGATCCGGGGCACCACCGTCTGGGCACGCCGCCGCCTTGCCCTTCGAGGACCCGGAGCCGAATTTACCTCCACCTTGCTTGGGCCCTAGGTGGAAGCGGTGCTTATGTTTCTCAAGCCAGTCGTCCTCGGCGAGGAGAAGACGGCCAGCCTTGTCGACGATCCGTTCTACTTTGTTGTCAAACCTCTCTTCAGCCGCCCGCAGTCGCCCAACCAACTCCTCCACTGTCAACTCCTTGAGATTACAAAACATCTCTATGGACACCACCACTTGGGTGAACCGTGGCGGCACCACGCGCAAAAACTTCTTGATGACGTGGACATCGTCGATCGTCTCTCCCAAAGTCTTGAGGTTTCCGACGAGATTGGTGATTCGCATCCCAAAATCATCGACCGATTCCCCCTCCTTGAACTGGATGTTTTCGAACTCCTTCAAGAGTTTCTGGGCATTCACCTCTTTGACTCGATCGGCTCCAATCCGCATGGTTCTCACCGCCTCCCACGCCTCCTTCACCGTCTTCTTCCTCCCCAACGACTGCCACATCTCCTTTGGGACAGAACGCAAGAGTGCGCTCATGGCTTGACGATCTTGTGCACGCTTCGGATCGATACCTGGGTCGATCACCCCCAGATCTCTAATGCTTCGTAGTTGCACTGCATCAGCATCGCCCACTCGGTGTAGTTGTCGCTGGTAAGCATCGGCCACATGAGCGAACTCTCCTTCACGCCGGTGGAACTCGACGTGTCGCCCATGGCGTTCGACGGTGGTTGGCGGCGCGGCTTGCGATCTTCTTCTACGTCGGCTCTCTTGGTGGACCACTGGATCCACCGGAACTCTCAACTCTCGCTCTGATACTAATTTGTTAGGATCGGCGGCTCACCGTCCTAGGAACTCTCGGCTGCCGGCGATGCCCGGTGGTGCGCGATCACCACGGACTCGAACAAGAGAACAAAGTATAGAATGCAGAACTCGGTGAGTTGGTTTACTGCGAATGGCGCAGCTTCCCAGATGCACTTCATTGATTATTATACCGGCTCGATCCGACTTCCCCGCCACAGGTTGTTGCTGCATGATACGCCGTCATTTGCGAACGTCCATGCGACAAAGCAGCGCAGCAACCCGTGGAGGAGTGAGCCTCGGTCGCGGTCGCGGTAGCGAGAGGACGTGCAAGTCTCCGCCTCTGCCCGCGATTCTATGCGTGTACAAAACATGTTCATGCATCGAACAAGCTAACTAATGCACCTAAGAATGATTACAAGTTCCTGTCACGATTACAGAGTATTGAACCCCAACACTCCCATCCTCCCTCAACATTCTCCCAATTCCATTTCTTCTCTTCCTAACAGAGCAAGTCGTTATGGAAATACTTCGATCACCAAAACGAAACCAATTAACATGTGCTCGCTGCTTCCAATATGTATCTATCTGCTCTTCTAACCTATCCACTTTAAAACTCCAAATCGCTTCCCTCCCCACAGCTAGATCACTGATCTGCTCTCTTCTCAATCTCTCCAACTCCTTTGCTTTTCTCAATCTTTTTTCTAGATCTCCAAGAACATTTGTACTCCAATCTTCCAGACTCGTGGCAGGTCATGGTTTGGAAGCCTAAGTGCCCAATATTTATTTTTGGCCGGTTAGCTAAGGTTTAGCCAGTTTAATGAACCGGCCTATTAGTTAAATAAAGGGAATCAACTGATTAGGTCATTAGGTTCCCATGCTCCATGTAAAATAGACTTTATGCCATTTTTATAAGGATGCCATGTAAGCAAAAAAAATTATGAACCAAGCGTGACAGTTGATTAGGTCATCAGGTTCCTTGTGGTCAAAATCATCCATCTAGGTTCAACTTATACGGATAATTGTAATTTTTATAAATTTATTTTAAGATTTAACGGTATTATTTTTTAGTGATGGACAATGTCTATTGACAAATAACGAGATACCTATGATGACTTCGTCGAAAACACATGTATCTACACCTTACTCCCTCCTTACCAAATTAGAAGTCACCATGGGATGCGTGCAGGTCAAATTTTTTTAACTTTGACTAGATTTATAAAAAATATGTGCAACATTTATATCTCAAAATAAGTTTATTATAAAGACATATTCAACAATCTACCTAATGAAACTAATTATGTATTATAAATATTAATAATTTTATATATATTTGATCAAAGTTAAAAGTATTTTATTTCTCGGAAAGCGAGAATGATATTTATTTTGGGACGGATGGAGGATTATACAGTTCGAGGTCGAGGCTTCTGCTGCTTTTCTAGTTTTCTTGTTCAACTTTTGACTCTCATCACGCATGTGCTGCCATGCCGGAGTGTTGGATGAGCTGAGTTGCATGTGACAGTCGTGGAGCTTCCAAATGAAAACATCTGATGGTTTCACAAATTGTAAATCTTCTCCCAGGCCGGAGCCAGTGTTCTGTACTTCTGTCTGTTTTGCGAGAACTGTTCTCCAATAATTTGGACTGGTGCCTCTTTCATTCAGTTTTTTTTCTTTTCTTTTGGGGTCTATGTATAGTTTGGATTGGATGGGCATGGACTGAGTAAGCCGCTAGTACAAGAACTTCTGTTGTGTCTTACAACCTGACTAAGGCTATCCGCACGCGTCGACTTCTATTTTCATCTCTAAAAAAGAATATTTTATCCTAGTCATCAAGATTCTCTACTCTATATCCATTTCTCCTGCACCCATGTTATCTCTATTCCATACTCTATACCAACTACTCCATATTTTATTCTCCTCCATCCCCTTTCCCTCTCTCCAACTCTCTCTCTCTCCGCTGCAGTACATTTAGCGTGCGCACAGTGGTCCTCCAGGAGTAGCGTTCGACCGGCCGGCCGATTGCGTAGCGCGCGGTTTCCAGGCGAGCGGTGCGGGCTTTAGCGGTGCGGCCGCGGCGTAGCGCATGCTTTAGAGGCGAGCGGTGCGGACAGCCTAAAGCGGGTAGCTCTATAATAACAAGCAATTTATGTGCAATCGCGTACATCCTAATCACATACCCACATACGTACAAAACTAACACAATCACAATTGCACATCCGTGGGTACTGACGATTTGAGTCCCAAAAAAGGGGAGGGGGAAACAAGAGATTATAATCCCACGCCTACAAATACGAACGAACAGCGAACGCCGCCGCATCCAGCCGGAACAGATCGAAGCGGCCCCCGCCTCGACGCCGGACAACAAAGATGAGGACTCGGCGTTGGCGAGCGATGGCGTCGTGGGCATGGGCAACGACGACGACTGCCCCGGCGGCGGCGAGACGGGAGAGCCACGGCCGAGCCGATGCGGCGGCGGCGGCGAGAGCCCCGCCTCCATGTCGGTGTCGGGGTGCAACCACGCCTCGCGCCTCGGCTGCTTCGCCTGTTGCTCCCGCAGAGTTGCCGAGCTGGAGAGCCGTCTCCAGGAGAAGAGCGCTGCTCTGACCGAGACCACCAACGTCTTGGAGTTGGAGTTGGAGCTGGAGAGAGCCCAGAGTCGCCTCTGTAGACTCGAGGAGATGTACGACAAGTTGGAGGAGGAGTTCATCCGTCTGCGTGATGGAAAGAGGGCGAGATAAATCGAGGACGCCCAAGAAAGGAAGAAGCCGCGGAACGGCGGAAGGAGCGCTTCAAGTTTCCCACAGGACCAGACTGACTGAACCTCGCCGCTTGTTCCATGCAGGAGTTTTCAGCTTTCAGTTTTCACCGATGAAAAGTGCACCCCTGACATAGTTCAGGCAGCCCAATTCGTCTCGCTCGGCCTCTCGAGTATCTTCGCCGATCCTAGTAATCATGTCATAGTTCTCATAGAAACGGCACATAGAATCGAGTCATGTGTGATATGAATCGTCATGAGTCTTGAGTCATGTCAGAAAGCAGTTGAACCGTAATAATCAGTCAGTATCTTTCTGATGAGCTGATGATCAGAGGTGTGCATGAGTTGGAGCACCATGAGCATGCCATGACAAGCCAGAAGTTTTAGGTTTACTTAGGCTAGGCCCTTGTTTAACTGGCCAAAGTTGACGCCCGGCCGGGATCAATCACTGTAGCATTTCGTTTGTATTTAATAATAATTGTCCAATCGTTGACTAATTAGGTTCAAAACGTTCGTCTCGCAAAGTACAACCAAATTGTGCAATTAGTTTTTGATTTCGTCAACATTTAATACTCCATGCATGTACCGTAAGTTTAATGTGACGATAGATCTTCTTTTTGCATAATGCCAAAGTTTGGATTCTAAGGTAACTAAACACACCCTAGATCAATTGAACTACGAACATTTTAAGACAGATTAAGAGACAATACAAAAGATGCATATAGCCTTACCGATACCTGTGAATGTTGTATATAGCTGCATTATCTAACAAATTCAACACAAGACAAGCTGAGCCAAGTAGCACAGCGAAAGATACCAAAACATAGAAAACATCTAGTATCGGATTGACAATTCCATGATCTAGAAGTAATCAAGTCCACAGTTAAAACTAATCTCACAGTTTCGCAGCAGCATCACACCATCAACACAAATAACCTAAGGGCACCGCAAGCATCAGATTAAGAGCAACAGTAATAACACCACAACCCACATGGGCCGGTGGCTTAGGCAGCCACCTCTTCCTCCTCATCCTCGTACTCCTCTTCGTCATCCGCCGTGGCGTCCTGGTACTGCTGGTACTCAGCCACCAGGTCGTTCATGTTGCTCTCAGCCTCAGTGAACTCCATCTCGTCCATGCCCTCCCCGGTGTACCAGTGCAAGAAAGCCTTGCGCCGGAACATGGCCGTGAACTGCTCGCTCACACGCCTGAACATCTCCTGGATCGAGGTGGAGTTGCCGATGAATGTGGACGCCATCTTCAGGCCATTGGGAGGGATGTCACACACGCTCGACTTCACGTTGTTCGGGATCCACTCCACGAAGTAGGACGAGTTCTTGTTCTGCACATTCAGCATCTGCTCGTCCACCTCCTTGGTGCTCATCTTCCCACGGAACATGGCTGATGCTGTCAGGTAGCGCCCGTGTCGTGGGTCAGCTGCGCACATCATGTTCTTGGCATCCCACATCTGCTGGGTCAGCTCGGGGACGGTGAGGGCACGGTACTGCTGGGATCCCCTTGATGTCAGTGGTGCAAAGCCAACCATGAAGAAATGGAGGCGAGGGAAGGGTATCAAGTTGACTGCAAGCTTCCGGAGGTCAGAGTTCAGCTGGCCTGGGAACCGCAGGCAGCAGGTAACACCACTCATGGTTGCAGAGATGAGATGGTTCAGGTCACCAACTGGAAAAACATAAAAAAGGCAAGATTAAGATTTATGTCGAAATGACAGAAACAAATGCAAGAAACAAGGCAGAGAATCGAAATGGCAGAAACAAATGCAAGAAACAAGGCAGAGAATCATGAAATGGTCATCTCAGGGCATCATTGTATTCTGTAATGCAAAGCAAACTTAGCCCTTGTTTAGTTCCAACCCAACTTCCAAAAAGTTGCTACAGTACCTGTCACATTGAATGTTTGCGGCCCGTGCATGGATCATTAAATGTAGACGAAAAGAAAAACTAATTGCACAGTTTGGTGGGAAATTGCGAGACGAACGTTTTGAGCCTAATTAGTCCATGTTTGAACACTATTTGCCAAATAAAAACGAACGTGCTACAGTAGCCCCAAAATCCAAATTTCTCCAACTAAACAAGGGCTTAAGAACAGATAGTACAGTGTCAAAATGCTAGTGAGATGCATGTGCCCGACATACACATTAATTCAATCAAGTGCATGATTGCAATAAATATGCAGCAATGGCAGACAAGGACCATGTAATTCATTGCAGCATCACAAGACACATCCAAGAGATAGATTTGTGTCACAGGATTTCACACGAAGATGACTACAATCCACTCTTTGCACCAAGATATGAAATCAATGATCAATAAATACTAAAGCTGTGGGTGCAGTGACTGAGCAAAGTAGCAATACAAACTTACAAGTTGGTGTAACAAGCTTCAGAGTGCGGAAGCAGATGTCGTAAAGAGCTTCATTGTCAAGGACCATACACTCATCAGCATTCTCAACAAGTTGATGAACTGAGAGTGTAGCATTGTAAGGTTCTACTACGGTATCAGACACCTTAGGTGATGGGAAAACTGAGAATGTCAGCATCATCCTATCTGGGTACTCTTCCCTGATTTTTGAGATGAGCAGGGTGCCCATCCCAGAGCCAGTACCTCCACCCAATGAATGGCAAACCTGAAATCCTGCAGAATAGAAGACAAAAATTATTTCACATACAATTTCACAAGTGAAGCATAATTCAAACGGACAAAAGCATTTTTTACACAAAATATCCAATAACCGAGATTCTAGTTGCTATATAGATAATAAGATGACATCAAGATGGACAAACCTAGCAAAATGCAACACCCTAACATGAACCACAAGCAAATATCCTCCAGTAACCACTAGCCAAGATGAGTTGTAAGCTACGTTACTAGCCTGACAGATGAATTTTCTCACAGCCATTTGCAACGATTTTCATACACAACAAAACAAAAATAACATAGAAGTTCAGCACAGCCAAAGTAAAGAAAATTGGTTAATAACATCTCTAAAGTTAAATCATCAGTTATATAAGCTTATCTCTCACAAGTTAATTGACTCAATAAATACTTCACAGTTACTAGTAGCACGAAAGGGCCAAAAGACCAAAACAGGCACTGGCCAAATTTGTGGCGAAGGACCATAACAATAAACCCTAACGTTTAGTCCCTATCACATCGGATGTTTAGACACATGCATGGAGTATTAAATATAGACTAAAAAAAACTAATTGCACAGATTGCGACTACTTTGCGAGACGAATTTTTTAAGCCTAATTAGTCCATATTTTGACAATGTGGTGCTACAGTAATCATGTGCTAATAACGGATTAATTAGGCTTAATAAATTCGTCTCGCGGATTACTAAGAACTTATGTAATTTGTTTTATTATTATTATCCGAACACTTCCATGTAACCCGACACCCGATGTGACACCCCTATACTTTATCGCCTGGATTTAAACACCACCTGAACGCTGCAATTGAACAAATTTGCTGCTACTACCAGAACCACTCGGGCAATTAAGGAGTCACTGGATCTCCGTACTTTGAACCGCATAAACAATGATTAGGGGAAACCGAACCAAGCATTTCATCCAAGTAACCGCATAAATAGAATGCATACTCGAAAATGTCGAGGAAAACGCCCAGATCTACATAGGTTTCAATGCAAGCCAACAAATCGGCTAGATCTACGAGCCGCGAACCACAACATCGTAACATGTCATTCTAACTATAGAAACTACACTAGATCCGCACGCTGACGACCCCCAGACCGCGACCAAATTACCAGCATTTCTAACAGAAGGGCCAGATCTACGAGGACGACGACAGACAGTACCTTGGAGGCAGTCGCAGTTCTCGGCCTCCTTGCGGACGACGTCGAGCACGGAGTCGATGAGCTCGGCGCCCTCGGTGTAGTGGCCCTTGGCCCAGTTGTTGCCGGCGCCGGACTGGCCGAAGACGAAGTTGTCGGGGCGGAAGATCTGGCCGTAGGGCCCGGAGCGCACGGAGTCCATGGTGCCGGGCTCGAGGTCCATGAGCACGGCGCGCGGGACGTACCGGCCACCGCTGGCCTCGTTGTAGTAGACGTTGATGCGCTCGAGCTGGAGGTCGGAGTCGCCGGCGTACTTGCCCGTGTGGTCGATGCCGTGCTCGTCGCAGATCACCTCCCAGAACTTGGCCCCGATCTGGTTCCCGCACTGCCCGCCCTGGATGTGCAGGATCTCCCTCATGGCGGCGGCGGAGGAGGAGAAAGACGCGGCGAGGCGAGGCGAGGCTTGGGGAGCGGTGGGAGACGGAGGTCTGGAGGCGAGGGTGGAGCAGGCTCCGCGCGCGGCTGGGGACGAACGGAGGGAGCGGGTGGGTGTTGGTGTTTTACTGGGAGGAGAAGGCGTGACTTGTGAGCGTGTGCGGGTGAGGATACCGGCTGGGGAATTTGAAATTGCTTGTAGGAGGGGGCATTTATGCGGGCGGTGAGAGCCGACTGCATTACCGGGTGCGGGGCTGTGGCTGGAGACTGGAGAGCGTGCGGGGGCACCACCGCACTCGCGAATGTTCGTTAGTACTACCTCCGTAATTATGGGTTGTGTGCGAGAAGTGCTTCAAATTTGTTCAAATTTTTAGATAATAATATTAACATTTATAGATTTAAATTAATTTATTATAAAAATATATTTCATAATTAATCTAATGATATTTATTTGTTATCATAAAAATAGATACTTTTTCATTTATAATTGGTCAAACTTAAGGTATTAAAATGTGAGACACTGTGCTAGAATTATATTTTGTTGGACGAAGGGGGTATGTTTTTCTTTTTAAAAAACTATATCACCCTCTTTTTTTATTAATAAAGACCAAAGAGTGATCTTCATTAACAGGATGTAAATCTCATTTTTCCAAGGAACTAATCAATCATAAATTGGACAATGTTTATACAAATACATAATTATATATCCAAATAGATTTATTAAATATATTTTATGATTAAGCTATTGATACTTATGACGCATTATAAATATCAATAATTTTATATGTTTGGTCATTGATTATAACTTATTGAAAAGTGAAATCCACTTATTTTAGAGCGGAGCGGATCATAATGTTTGGAAAAAATATTATTGTAATACTATGCTTTTTTTACTAAATCACTAAAAGGCCAAGGATCCATTTGTTCCAAATTTATAGTTATTTTAGTTTCGCCTTAAGTCAAACTTGTCTAATGTTTTTATCAAATTTATAAAAAATATATTAACATTCACATTATCAAATAAATGCACTATCAAATATATTTCATGGTGTATCTAATAAAAATTATTTGATGTTGTAGATGTGTGCATTTTTCTATAAAAAAAGTAGTTAAAATTAGAGAAGTTTTCCTTAAAACACTGCGAAAACGACTTGTAATTTAGAATGTGGAGTAAGGATTTTGGGATTTTTAGATCATTGGCATAGGTACACTAAAGTGGGTTTTTTTAATGCAATATGATTTTGATCGGTGCAATTCTAAGTTGGACCTTTTGGCCTAAGTGGACTTTAAAGGGCATATATTATGTATTATCCATAGACATGCAGTATGCTGGTATTAGGATTTAAGAGGGCCATTGATATCTACTTCCCTAAGTTTTTGTTTGCTTGACATTTCAGACTAAATTTTTATTACAATAATTCTGAGAGCAACTCTAAGAATCTTTTTATATCCTTTCGTGTTGATAAGAATATATATTTTGGTGAAAAAATCTCCTTCAATGGCGTCTTTAACTAGATGTCCAAATATCGTCATCCTATATTCCTCGTTTCTTGCTCGCTAAAGATAGAGAGCGAAACTGACTCTTCAAAGTGACAAACAAGATATAGAGAAATTATTAGAGGGTTGTGAGATGTAGATATTATTTTAATTAGAATCTAACTCTAAATAAAGATTTAGCGAGTGAATTTAAGAAAGACAGAAGAAAATGCCCTGATAAGGTTTTTTCCCCTAAGAAAGATTTTAGATACTTTAGTTTTTCATGTCATTTTGTAGGAAAAATTGGATAGCCATAGTCGCTACGATATAAGGTTAGTGGCAAGTAATAAAAATGGAAGGAATTAATTTTATTATTTTCAAAATCCTACAAGTAAGCGTCACTTAATCCGAGCAAGTTGATTCACCCTGTTCGCTTATGCTGAAATTTAGCTTATGCTGATGCTTATGCTGAAATATTGTGAGAGTAAAATATTGTTCTATGGCTTAAAAGTAGTGCTGAATAAGCTCAAGTCCCACATATACTTGGTCTTGCAAAAGGATATAACAAAACTATTGTGGGGGTATGACCCCCGATACCCACAGGGTTGTACATGGGTTGAGCCGCTAGGGGAGATCCAGCCCACAAGACTATGCCAGGCAGACCATGGCACAGGTCGACGTGTCTCACAGGGCTACGTGAAGATCCATGACGATCAAGGATGATCTGGTCGGATATGCTAAAGATGTTGTATTCCTTATAAATAGATATCTTGTAACCGATCAGGACTAGATTCAACCGACATGTAACCCTACCCTCCGAGCTATATAAAGCGGGTAGGGACCCCTCTTGTTTTCACCTCATATCAATATACAATCCACCAAAGACAGAACGTGGGGTATTACGTCAAGCAGACGGCCCGAACCTGCCTAATCGCTGTTCCACGCGTTCTGTGTCATCGTCTGGCTCCTATCACGCGCACCTCCACCGATTCATCTACTACCGTGGGCATACCCCTCGGTAGATTGCCGACCAGATTTCATCGACAGTGGTGCTCAAGGTAGGGGTTGTGCGTGCTGATTCCATGGCGAGCCAGATGGTCCGCTTCCCGAGCTCCATGATCCTCCCCGAGCCAGTCAGACCTTCACGGTCGGATCTATGACCTGGGTCATCGACGCCAATGGCGTCGAGGAAATCATGGAGGCGGTGCAGAATCACCCTGCGCCGATCGTGCCAGCATCCGTGACAAGATCTCCGATCTCGACGCCTCATCGTTGGGTTAGGGGATCCATCGACAACGACGACCTGATCACATCTATCGATCGGGTCACAGGTCGCATAGTGGAATGTCAGCTCCTCGTGGACTCGGTCTTAGATTGGTCTACTGTGAGCAATGAAGTCCCAATGCCCCAAGATCGCCGAGCCACTATGACCGAGCGATCTGCTCGGCCACGACGTCTAGGGTGGCAAGATTTAGATCTGGTGATCACGGCTACTCCAGAAGAGCGTACGGTGCAATGCTAACCACTCCTAGCTACCGGTCTGCGCTTGGCCGACTACGAGGCCCTGATGGAGAACATGCTGAGGCCCTATCCCTTTGGGCTGGTGGGCACGGGATCCACGTATCAAAATGTCGTACACCACCTCTTCATCGACCACGTCGAGCACGACCACATAGACGACCTCCACATGATCGATCTGCCTAAGGAAGGTCGACCCGCTCCCGTGGTCAACATGGTGTCAATTCACCAGCTTCCGGACGACTCCCTCCATAGCATCCTAGAGGAGAGCCCTGATGAGTATTCCTAGGGCCTGACTGAAACCATCTTCACCTGCCCTACTTTTCTGCCAGGATTTAGGGGCGGGATCTACCACATCAGCCACGATAGCGTCACCAGAGACGGCGAAGCCACCGTCGATCATGATGCCTGCTTGGAAAGGAACGCCGATCGCCAGCGGCGTCGAGATGAAGAAGCTACCCACAGGGCTGACGGGGACCCTAATGCCCCGCACCGCGCGCGCCACAACTTGGAGGATGAATTCGACATGGTGGGCAACCAACCGGTGCAGAAGACGCCAAGCGCCAATATTGTCGTTGTTTTCAATGAGCTAGAGAAGCTCCCATAGACTCCAGAAGTCGAGAAGATCTAGGCGCATGTCATGGCGGCTCAAGTTCAAGTCAACGAGATCCGCCATCCTGATCCATCTTACTCGACAAAGGAAGTCAACATCAGGGCTCCGAGCACCCTCGACACCAAGCTGGTGGCCCCTACCTTTATCAAGGTCCCAGGGGCAACTACGAAGGATATGTTGATCAAGGCGGACGCCCACCTCGTCCACCGCATGGCCAAGGTGGCAATCGCAACGCCAACCAGGAGGTGAATCAACCCCTGTCGCATGACGTTCGCGAACACATCAACGCTAATATCAACGCCTGTGATCGCATCAAAAATAGCAGGGCCGCATGCTACGAAGTGGAGATGGAACGCCGGTGCCAGTTCGATGTCGAGCACGGAGCACCCGGCGCCGTCCGAGCACCTCCTGCCCCCGACACCCCAGGACTTCGTCCCTTCATGGCAAGACTCCAAGCTGTATGTCCGGTGGCCCGCGGGCTTCAAGATTTTCGGGGTGGACACCTATGACAGCAAGGCCAACCCCGTGCAATGGTTAACGCTCTATGAGATCACCGTAAGAGCCACAGGAAGAAGCGAAGATGTGATGGCAAATTATCTGCCCATCATGCTCAACCAATCTGTGAACAACTTGCTCCTCAGCCTATGAGATGACTCCATCTGATCTTGGAATGACCTCAAGAAGGTCTTCACCGAGAACTACATGGCCACCTGTAAGCATCTAGGCACCAAGTATGATCTGGAGAAGCTTCATCAGACCTCTAGGGAGTCCCTGCATGGCTTTATCAGGCGCTTCTCGGAGACCAGAAACTCCATCCCCAACATCAATGACAGTAGGCTATCGCCGCATTCACCAAGGGGCTCTAGCACGAGCAGCTCCGTAGAAAGCTCTACCACAAGGGGCCTACGACCATCGGTGAGCTGATACAGATAGCATACAGCTACGCCAATGCTAAGGAAACCAAGCGGGCTGCTCGCTTTGATCGCCCCTAACACCGCCATGACGACCGTCGCGAGGAAAGACGCTACGACGACCATAACCGCCGCCATGACGATCATGACCACCGCCACGACGAGCGTGACTGCCGCCCTGATGACCACGAGCACCGGCGTGATGATCGCCAGGAGAGCTCCAGAGGCAGACAGAACCACTGCCGTAGGCCTAATACTTCAGTCAACGTCGTCAACGCCATCGCTAATCCTAAGTACCTCGACTGGTCGAAGCACCCGATCACCATCTCCAGGGCCGACCAGTGGGCAGATATTCCATACCCTGGGCATTTCCCCCTCATCCTGGATCCCATCATCCAGGGCGTGCGATTCCAGAAGGTCCTCATCGATGGAGGGAGCGCCTCAACATCCTGTTCGCCAGATCCC